ATAGTTTATGCAATTCAGGGATTGATCTAGTGGCAAAAGAGTTGTTTCAGCAGCTCGGGATCAGCCAGACTCAGCAGCATCCTACCCATGTACACTTCACCCAAGCTTGTGGAGTGGGAGGTTGTGTAGGAGCTGGTATGGGAGTATATACCCATCATTGCCTGGATTTTTCAGATGCATGTTGTCTTTGTGCTAGCAGACTTGTGCAAAGCTGCTGCATCAAGACCATGAATCTGGCTCAAATCTTTCTAAAATTAAGGTCTTTCCGGCTGTTAAACATTATTGTGGCAAGTAAAAGTTTATCATCTGCTGCCCTCTGGTGGACATTTTGAGAGGTTACTTTGAAGAGTAGGTCCTGTGGAAGCTCTGCTTTGGAAACATTAGATGATTAGAATGAAGTATTGTTGCTAAGGCCTTGTCTACAGGGAAAATTTGATCTAAGCTACGTAAATTGAGTTACGTGAATAGTGTAACTCAAATTGACGTAGCTTAGACCTCCTTAGTGCGGGGTCCACACTACGTGATGTCAACGGGAGACACTCTCCCGTCGACTCCCCCTACTCTTCTTGATCTGGTGGAGTACAGGAGTCAACGGGAGAGCGATCTGCGGTCGATTTAGCGGGTCTTTAGTAGACCCGCTAAATCGACCTCTGATGCATCGATCGCTGCTTGTGGATCTCCCGGTAAGTGTAGACAAGCCCTAAGTGTTAATGAAAAAAAGCTAAATAAAATGTTCATCACTTTGCAAATCTTTTTTCACATGTGGCTTCTTCTTCTTAGCTCCATGCATGCTGCCTCTAGCTGTCTGACTACTTCTAGCTATTAGAGAGACAAGGTGGATCAGATAATATCTTTTATTGGACCAATTTCTAAAAGTGAGAGAGAAGTTGGGCCAATAAAAGCTATTACCTCACCCATCTTGTCTCTCTAATATCCTGGGACCTACGTGGCTACAACTACACTACATAATTCTAGCTACATCTAGGCAGGTTTCTTCTGGTTAGTTTCTGACACACTGATTCTCTTCAACCAACTCCTTCTCTCTTACTGTATATGTATTAACAGATATATACACACATTAAATATGTACTGGTAATATCCATGTAATACATTTATCATCTGCATTCCAGCCTGATAATCTCTCTCTTCCATTACTACTACTGACACGTTAAGCCTCTTAGCAGCTTCACATCGTTCCCATTAAAAAATAAAATAAAATAAAAAAATCACCAGAAAATGGATTCTCCTATCCCTCTCATGTGTAATTCCCCATCCAAATAACACTCGTCTATGGTGCTGGATGTTGTAAAACAAGAATTGGATTTAAGATCTAATATCTTGCAACATCTATGTACCCTTGTAACAGGAAGATTCATGCTGTTTCTTCTAACTCGACAAGGTTCTATGATATTGGACCTTAAAAATCACAACATTATTTTGCACAGAAAAGCTACTTAAATCATATTTGGAGTTTTCTAAAATGTGTTAGTGTGGAGAATAAGGGAAATATCATGTACACCTCAATTCACCTGGCTGATATTATGCTGCCTGACTGCATAGTTAAATCAAAGGAGGCGGTTGAGGGGAAACAAACAGGAAACAAAACAATGGAAAAGATAAGGTGCAGTGAGAGAATACTAATGGTCTTTGATGAAACAGTGGGGAAACTGTTGATTGGGGGATAACCCCAGCCTGACTCCAGAGAGGCTGGCAAGGTTTATTTTTCCAGGACTCAAATCTAGGATCAACCGGTACTAAAGCCGTAGAGATCCTGGGCTAGAAGGAAAGGACGGGGGGAGTGAGCAGCAGCGACTGAAACGCTGACAGAGAAAGAGAAAGAGTACATACTGCAGCAGGGCATCTTGCTTTTCCCAGACAGAAATTGGAGTAACTGGGCTGAAGGGAACTTACAGAAGCCTGCAAGGAAGGATTACCATATATGCTGTTTTCCTGCTTTGCTCTGTGTGCTATATATGTTTGGGTGAAGAAATAAATAATGCTTTGTTTTGAAGAAGCTGCTTTTTGAGTCATTTTAATCAGCTGCTGTCACAAGCTACTGGAGTAAGGCCTGGCCTACACTACAGAGTTAGGTTGACGTAATTACTCATAAGCGTAACTCTGTAAGCGTATACAGTAAAATGGAGCTCCCACCGATGTAAGTCGCCCACTACATTAACTAAGGCTACGTCTACACTACAGATCTTAAGGCAGCACAGCTATGCCATTGCAGGAGAGAGCTCTCTCGCTGGCATAATTAAACCATCCCTGCTGACATAGTGCAGTCCACACCAGCACTTTTGTTGGTGAAACTTATGTCAGTCAGGGGTGTGTTTTTTCACACAAGTGGGGGGCTGCCAGACTGAGATCCAGTCTCAGGGTATGTCTACACAGCAGTATGTACCCAAGTATGTACCTACAATCCTGGGCAGGATTGTACTTCTGTGGCTAGCCCATGTTGCTGCAGCTACACTGCTATTTTTAGCGAGTTAGGTTGGGTAGGGCTGCATGGGCTGCAGTTGCACCTCCCAATTGCTGTGTAGACATACCTCCAGAGTGGTTGAACCATGTGGCCACACCCACTATAGAGGGAGAAGAAGCCAGGCCAGTCAGCCAAAGGGTCCACTCAAGGAGGACAAAATGGAGTCTAAACATAGCTTGCCCTGTGATTGTGACAATTAGTTATAAACTTTCCCACTCTCTCAAAATCTTGTACAGTTGGATTTATGATTAGGGCCCTACCAAATTCACAGCCATGAAAAACACATCACTGACCATGAAATCTGGTCTTTTGTGTGCTTTTACCCTATACAATACAGATTTCAGGGGGGAGACCAGCATTTCTCAAATTGGGGGTCCTGACTCAAAAGGGAATTTCAGAAGGGTCACAAGGTTTTTTAGGGGGCGTCGCAGTGTTGCCACCCTTACTTCTGCGCTGCCTTCAGAACTGGGCAGCCCGAGAGCGACGGCTGTTGGCTGGGTGCCCAGCTTTGAAGGCAGCGCCCTGCCAGCAGCAGCACAGAAGTAAGGCTGGCAATACCATACCATGCCACCCTTAGTTCTGCACGGCTGCCTTCAGAGCTGGGTGGCCAGAGTGGCAACTGCTGACTGAGGGCCCCGCTCTGCAGGTATCAATGCAGAAGTAAGGGTGACAATATCATACCATGCCATCCTTACCTCTGTGCTGCTGCTGGCGGCAGCTCTGCCTTCAGAGCTGGGCTCCCAGCCAACAGGCGCCGCTCTCCGGCCGCCCAGCTCTGAAGGCAGCACCACCATCAGCAGCAGTGAAAAAGTAAGGGTTGCAGTACCGTAACCCCCGCTACAATAACCTTGTGACCCCTGCAACTCCTTTTTGGGTCAGGACCCTTACAATTACAACACCATGCTATCCTGTGACCTGTATGGTATTTGGTACCACACACAAGCTGTACATTGTTTACCATTTTGTATTTTTTAATAATTCTTTATGAACATTAATAAAATATTAATCACACACACAAATCGATCCAGGGAAACCTGGATAGGTGGCTACATACCCTGCTTGTTCCATGTAGGGATGGAAGGATTAATCCCCATCTTGTTGCTGTAATGGGGTGGGGGCATGACACCTGTTGTAGGGGAGATGAGTGAGGTCCCTGCATCTTTTTTGGGGGGGAGGGGGGTCACATGCCCTGGTTGCTCTATAGCAGTGGTTTTCAAACCGTGGGTCGTGAACCAGAATTGGGTCGTGGAATGGAAGGCACTGGGTCGCGGCGGCTCTGGTCAGCACCACCGACTGGGCTGTTAAAAGTCCTGTCGGCGGTGCTGCAGAGCTTAGGCAGGCTAGTTCCTACCTGTTCCAACATCGCGCTGTGCCCTGGAATCGGCCAGCAGGTCCGGCTCGTAGGCAGGGGGTGGTGGGGCCCCACAGAGCTCCTTGTGCAGTCCCCACCCCGAGCACCGGCTCCGCACTGGGAGTGTGTGTGAGTGGGGGGGGGGGCAGTACCTGCGGGTGAGAACCACACGGAGCTGCTTGCGGTGCCTCTACCTAGGAGCCGGACCTGCAGCTAGCTGCTTCCGGGGCGCAGCGCGGTCTGCGGTGCCAGGACAGGTGGGAAGCCTGTCTCTGCACCCTGGTTCTGCCGCTGACTGGGAGCTGCCAGAGGTAAGCCTGTGCTCCAATCCCCTGCCCTGAGTCCCCCCCCCCGAACCCAGAGCCCCTTCTGCACCCCAAACCCCTCATCCCTAGCCCCACCCCAGAGCCTGCACCCCCAGCCGGAGCCCTGACCTCTTCCTTCAACGCAAGCCCCTGCCCCAGCTCTGAGCCTCCCCAAACCCAAAGCTCCTTCCTGCACCCCAAACCCCTCATCCCCAGCCCCACTCCAGAGCCGACAGCCCCACCCCACAGCCCTCACCCCAGCCCTCTGCCCCAGCCCTGAGCCACTCCCACACCGCAAACCCCTCATCCCCAGCCCCACCCCAGAGCCTGCACCCCCAGCCAGAGCCCTGACCTCTTCCTGCACCACAACCCCCTGCCCCAGCTCTGAGCCTACCCAAACCCAGAGCTCCTTCCTACACCCCAAACCCCTCATCCCCAGCCCCACCCCAGAGCCGGCACCCCCACCCCACAGACCTCACCCCAACCCTCTGCCCCAGCCCTGAGCCGCTCCCACACCGCAAACCCCTCATCCCCAGCTCCGTTGAGTCACGGGCATCAACAATTTTCTTCAACTAGGTCACCAGAAAAAAAGTTTGAAAACCACTGATCTATAGGGTGGGGGACACACGCGTGGAGTGGGGAAGAGGCGCCCCCAGCGCCCGGCCGTGCGGCGGGGCTTTCTCTGCTGGGGGTGGGTCCTTAGGGGCAGTGACTGGGTCACAAAGGGGAGGGGAACCGGTCCGGGCACAGACAGTCGCCTGGAGCCTGCGGAAGGAGGCCCCGGCCTTGCCTCTCTCCCTGTCCCCGCCCCTCTCGGATGGGGCGTGCCGGGGCTGGGCGAAGCGGAGACGGTGAGTTGCGTGTCCCCTGCTCGGGCTGGCTGGGCCGCCGCACACGCTACGCCCGGGAGAGGCCGCGCGCGGCCCCGGGGTAAGGGGACAGCTGGCCTCGGCCTGCCGCCCGCGCCTCGCTCCCTTCCAGCCATTTCCCGGGCTCCTGCGGACTCCGCAGAGCAGAGCAGCCGCCAGTGGTAGGCAGGGGGCTGCGCCAGCGAGGAGGAACTTACAGAGAGCCCCCAGACTTCGGGGGGAGAGGGAAGGACTGCAGAGAGCCCCCAGGCTACAGGGGAGGAGGAGCACGGGGGGCAGCAGAGAGCCCCCAGGCTACAGGGGAGAGGGGGCTGCAGAGAGCCCCCAGGCTACGCGGGTGGTGGGGTGTTGTGGGGAGTACTGGGGTAGTAGAGCGCTCCCAGGCTATAGGAGAGGGGTGGGCTCCAGAGAGCCCCCAGGCTTGTTTGGGGGACATTTCCCACTGTCTTCTACTCCCCAAACTTCAGAGAATGGGGAGCAGACTCCAAAGCTGGTTCTAGATTTTTGCCTCTATCTCTGTAATGATCTCTAAATACCAAACTATGGTGAGGTTCAAAATCAGGCTGCAAATCTAACCGTGTGCGACAATCCTAAATAAATAAATCTGTGATTTATAGAGTGGCTGATGGCTTGTGGGCATCCCAACAAAACTGAAATGGAGGTACTGGCATTGTAGCCGATTCAGACTGGGTCTACAACTTAGGTTGACCTTGGGCTGGTCTACACTGGGGTGGGGGGATCGATCTAAGATACTTCAACTTCAGCTACGCTATTCACATAGCTGAAGTTGCGTATCTTAGATCGATTTACCTGGGGTCCTCACGGCGCGGGATTGACGGCTGCGGCTCCCCCGTTGACTCCGCTACCCCCTCTCGCTCTCGTGGAGTTCCGGAGTAGACGGGGAGCGTGTTCGGGGATCGATTTATCATGTCTAGACGAGACGTGATAAATCGATCCCCGATAGATCGATTACTACCCGCCAATCCGGCGGGTAGTGAAGACGTACCCTTAGTTACATTGAATGGGGCTGTGGAAAATGTCACACCCTTTGTAACGTAGTTAGGTCAACCTGACCTCCGCTGTAAATGCAGCTAGGTCTATGGAAGAATTCTTCCATCCATCTAGCTACCAGGAGGTGGATTTAGGCCATGTCTACACCACCTCTTATGTCAGCAAAATTTATGTCACTCGGGTGTGGAACCCCCCCCCCCCCCACAACAACATAAGTTTTGCCAGCATAAGTGGTAGTGTGCACAGTGCTATGTCGATGGGAGAGTTTCTCCCACTGATATAGCTACCGCCACTCATGGAGGTGGTTTTATTACGTTGACCTGTCGGGATAGAGCAACTACATGAGCATAGGTGCTGGAACTAGGGCTGTGGGGGATGCTACAGCACCCCCTGGCTTGAAGTGGTTTCCATTATATACAGGATTTACTGTTACAGTGGTGTAGTCACAGTGCTGCTGCAAAGCTTGTAGTGTAAACCTACCCTAAGGCAGGTGTGTCTCAGTGATATGGCCTTTATTTCACTGTGAAAGCATTTCTGCAATTCTTCATGTTACTCTGCTAAATCATAGAAAAAAAAATTTATGTTGAGAGCACTTAGGCCCTCATACTGCAAGGTTACACTCATGTGTAGCCCATTGAGGTCAATGAAGTTCCATATGAATTTAAGGGGGTTAGCCCATGCCAATCAGATTGCAGGACCGGGGCCACAGGGCCTTCCATTTCTGTGCTGCAAATGTTACATGCTTCAGGATGAAAATAATCCGTAGTGATTAGGCAGTTATCAGTGAAAGCATGAAAATAAATATAATATTAACCCACTAAATACTAAAGCTAGAGTGGAAATTAAAATTACAACTCAGCTCCCTGCCATACAGTACATTTTATGTTCTCTTCTCATGCAATATGAATCTAACACGGAAACAAAAATGATGAATCTTGCCCAGGATGACAACATAAAAATGGGTTTCATGCACATCAAAGACTTGTGTGTCCTTCCAGAGAATGGCCTGCCTGTCCTGACCGTACCCCTCTAATGTTAACTTTAGCAATAATTGGACAATGGATAATCTCTTGGGTTGACCTATCTTGTATTTTATAAAGGGTATAAGTAAAACCTTGGAGTGAACTCAGTCAGAGGAGACCCTTTCCTTGCCCTAAGCCTCTATGCCCCAGACATAGCAGCCACATATGAAGGCACAAATCTTAGGTTTGGTCCTTGAAGCACTTGAAAACAGGAGAGAAAGCTGGTTTGAGATGTTGACAAGCTCCTATATTTGCAAGTCCAACAGAAAATGTAAATATACATTATTTTGAGGACTGACGTGTTTTTAGTATTTTTGAGTATCATCTTCCTCACCAGAGCACACAAGGAAATGGGGCTACTCACAGTATATAAAACTACATGCAGGCTTAACTCTGTGAGATCAAGGCCCAGGAGAGTTTCTTCAAGCTCGAGAACAATGAACTTTAAAGGGAATTAGAATTGTTACAAAAATTTAAAGATAGCTGGAAAGTGAAGTGTTGCTTTTGGTCTTTTATTTAAAAGAACAAAACAAACAAATCCTCTCCCTCACACAAGTTAATTTTATTTTGATCTAACTTCTTGTCTTTTCCCACTAGATAGCTCCGTGTCCTGGTTACAGACCCATACATGAACTACCTTGAAGATCCTGTTTGGTCAAGAGCTTGAGCGATAGTGCAGAAGATGTTAGGTCTGATACTGGGTTACTTTGCCAGGAGGAGTCAGGTGCTGGAGAGCAGGTTGTGGGTAGGTGGTGCAGAGTAGGGATGGTTGGGATCTGATCTTGGTCAGAGAGGAAAGGTGTTCAGTTGTGTACCAGGCACTGGGATACAGATGCTGAACAGAGAACTGAGGAGCAGCATGAGACCAAGACCAGAGGCAATTTACTTGAATGATAGGGGAGCAGGAGGAGCAGAGAGCAGCACTAGGGATTGCCAATAAGAGGAGACCGTAAGAGCAGCCACTAGTTCTTTTCTCTTCCAGGTAGCTTCGCTCTAGGGCCTAGAGGCATCAGGGGCTTGAGTTTCAGAATGGCGGAACATCCAAAGTGCCCTTTGATTACAACCAGAGGTCCTCAGCTTCTGTGAAAATTGGGCCCCAAGTGTCAGATCTTCTCATCCACTGCTGAACACTTTGGGGCTCCCAGTCACTGCTTCTTGCCCATACAGGAAGCCGTCCCCATGTAGTCTGGCCATCTAGTGCAAAAAGAGAAAACAAATTTAAGAGACAATAATTTAACACCTCACCCCTTCCCCCATAAAAGACCAACATTTTTATTTCTAAAGAACGTCTCAAATTAGCATAACTATGATTCAGAACACCTCTAGAATTGTAGTACACTGCAATAATGGAGTTTAATGTTCTTGAGCTGGAAGAAGCTGTGCATTTTCACGAGCAAGAACATAACATAGGAACATAAGAACGGCCACAGTGGGTCAGACCAAAGGTCCATCAAGCCCAGTATCCTGTCAAATAAAGGTTTATTCTGGGGCTTTATAAAATGTTTCATCCCCCACTCAGAGCAAATTAATTGACAAACTGTTTAAAGTGACAGAGCCCAGAACTGAACTCACCTTAAAAATAACATTTAAAAATCCCCCTTGATCCTGTAGAATGTATCAGTCTATCTTGTACAACACAGACCTAAGTGGAGGCAAACACATAGAGGTCATGTTGCCTTTGCTTTTCTCCTGAGAGCAGAGTATGGACTTATAAAGGAGCCACCTTCTCTTCCCGCTGTAGAAGACTCTGTTTGGAAGGAGTTAATCTGGGTTACAAGAGGGAGAAAACAAATATTTCTGATGGGCACAAAACTGAACACACTTGCACAATCTAAATAATGGTCCCCTTTAAATCTGAACAAAGAAACCAAAACGTGGCACCAACAGAGGCTATCTTACAAGTCTAGTTTGGTAGTTATTGCATGCTGAGACTCTGGGCTTTCTCTGTTGATATTGTTCAACAAAATGTTGATAATTTTCCCTCACTGTGCCCTTCATAAAACTTTCACAATTCGGTGTATTTTAATGGTGATAACAAAGGTCTCCCAATTTTTAATTCCAGATGTTCTTATTGATAGCAGTCAAACATCGGCAGGGGTCCAGGACTGCTGCTCTGTACTACAGCATAATGCATGCTACCTCTTGCTGTGCTCAGACTTCAGCTTGCTTGTCCATTATGGTGCTTATCATACTTTCTTTACTTTCTTTTTTGGTGTACAACATTTTGACCCTGTTGTAATAATCACTTACATGCACGAGTAACTTCGCTCATGGGAAAACTTACTTGTGTGCATAAGGATTTGCAAGATTTCAGTCCTTGTTTATACTTTTGTTCTGGTCTCATCTTCTGCTTCTGTTCCTATTAACTCAGCAACAGCAGTGCAAAGCAGACAAGCTTCAGTGTGGAATAACTGCTGAAAATGTTTGATGCAGTGCTGCATGAGAACTAGAGAAAGGCTGTCTATGCCTAGCAGTTGGAAAAATAGTGCTATTGTGTAATCTTATAAAATCAATGCTATCCATGGTGTTTATACTAATATACACCTCTACCCTGATATAACGCGACCCGATATAACACGAATTCGGATATAATGCGGTAAAGCAGCGCTCCAGGGGGGGCAGGGCTGCGCGCTCCGGGGGATCAAAGCAAGTTCGATATAACGCGGTTTCACCTATAATGCGGTAAGATATTTTGGCTCCCGAAGACAGCGTTATGTCGAGGTAGAGCTGTATTTATAAAATAAATTAAATATACATACAGGGGCCTTCAAAATCTGGGCTGATTTCACAGTTACTATAAATGATCATATCACATGGACTAAGTGCTATTCTGAAAAATATCTGTAAAAGTAGATACAAATCAGACTCAGCAGACCTGTTTCTTTTCTATATTCAGTCATATCTGCTGACTTTAGTGTCAAAAATAGGTTTTGTTGTGTTATTTCTGTTAGCCCAGCAGTTCACAGAGCTGATGAGGCTACTGGATACTATTTCTATTTGTTGATCATCGACAGAATTGTTTACTGAGTTCCAATCAGCTACACCTTTGCAAATTTTTGAAGGTAGTAAGACTGCGCAGATGTCAGTGAGGGTCTAATTTGGCCTGCAGGACTCTTATTACTGGTGATGGCTGCATGAGATAGAAAGAATCTATTTTGACTCTCAGGACTGTGATAAAGTTTGTAGTTCTGGCATATAGTGGTGATTGGGAATCAGTATACTTTTAACTGGACGCATTTGATATGGAGTAATTGAAACAATACATATGAAAGTTCAAGATGCTTTTAAAAAAAGAATATTTTTTGGGTATGAACCACACTTTAAGGACAAGGTACAATCATTCGTCTTTGACAGAGGATCTGTCCTCAATGCTGAAGTTCTGTGCTCTTCTGGAATTAAATCAGACCCTTTCCATTTTATTTGCATAGTTTCCATTGCATTTGTAGTCCACTAAATCTTTCTAGTTTAGGTACATATGGGCAGCCTACCTCTCTCTTTATTTTTTTTTAAGACATTATTTCTCAGATTCCCTTTAACATCTCTCTCCATCCCCCATTGGATATACAGTCTGTAGTTTTCCTGTTCTCTAATCATTGAGCTTTGCAGTACAAAGTTAATAATTATATTGCTGTGATGTTACAGTTGTGAAGTAGGTCAGTTAGGTTACATTGGAAGTTATTAGAGAAAAACAATCATTTTAACATTGTCATCCAATACATTTACTTAAATACACATTCTAAAAGTGGCTGTCCTGTAGTACCAGCTTTTATTCCTTCTTTTTTGTGGTCATGATTTACTGGGCTCATTTTTTCAGGTCAGTGAATGGTCTGTTACTCTCTACAAAATGTCTTCTGTAGGTATATTATTTTCTGCTCTGATAAATTTGATGTTTGCCAAACCAGTTTAAACTTGATAGTTACTTTTATATAAAAGTAACTATCAACTAAACTTTATATAAAGCTTTATATAAAAGTAACTAAATAATACATAGGTCCTGATTTCCACATTGACTAGTGATTTTTTTTTTTTTTTAGGCGTCTCAATTTTGGCTTACCGAATTTGACACACCTTAAAGGGGACTGATTTTTTTCAAGGATGGATTCTTAGGACTTTAAAATCAGTCGCCTTAATAGCATTTCTCAGATGGGCACTACCAACTGTGATAGTAATTTTTTTTCTTTTTTGTTCGCTATGTGAACACGTGTTCATAAAAAATCCATCTGCAACCACTAACTTGTTTCAAATATGCTAATGAAGAACCATCAGATGATGGTAATTTTTAGTTGCTCCAGACCTGGCTGGATTTGAAGTAGTGGACTAGAGACAAGTTTCCATATCCAATTATCAATCCCCTAGCTGTATAGACTTTGGATTTAGGTTTTTGTTTTTGTTTTATTTTCATCCATCTCTTGGTGAAGAGACCATTATTTAATTCAGTTCTGTCAAATAGATTCAAACTTCCTTTTACATTATATTAAAAAATGTCTTGCAAACTCACTGTTTAAAAAGCTTCACCCCTATATTTAGGTATGATAAGGAAATAAGCTACTAGGGTGGGTGTGGGTAGGGTTGGGAGAAGAAGAAAAATCTCAGGCTCTAAAATTGCTTAACTTTGTGTAGGAAATGCACATTTCTGGTCTTGCATCTGTAAGTACTAGATAAAGGCTTACCTTTTTTTTAATCTTATAAATTATTGTGCAGGCATGTTTTTTGCTCAGCAAAGCCTCAGCTGCCTTGGCATTAGGACACAGCTACTGAAGACAGTTTATCCTGTAAGATTCTTCAGATTTTCGACCTCTGCAGTATGTATTCCATCAGTTTGTAGATTACACTATATGTATGTCATGCTGTATTTATTTTAGAGATGCACTCATTTTGTGATGCTGCCGGTAAGTATATATTGGATTGGATGTCTACTTGGTTTAGTTCACTGAACCGATGATAAAAATGAGATTTTTGCCAGGCAGTTTAAGATTCATCCATGTTCTGTGAGGAAGTCCACAAAGCATTATGTTTTCTCCATTTTTTGTTGCCTTAATCCCAGACATTTAATATGAAAACTGCAATAAATTATTGTTCAAATCAATCAAATGTTAAACCACACTAGCATGGTTATTGTTCTACATATCTGTTTCATTCTTTAAGGCAATATTAGTGGACACTGGGGAGGAAAGATGGTCCCGTGGTTAGGGCATTAACCTGGGACTCAAGAGATGGGTTCAGTTCCCTGCTTTACCATAGATTTCGTGTGTGACTTTGGGTAAGTCAGTCTCTCTGGCCCAGATCCATAAAGGGACTTAAGTGCTTAACTCACAGTTTTAGACCATGGCAATTCATTGCTGTCACCTAACTCTGTAGTTGTCTAAACTCACTTGGTCCCTAAATTTTTCGCTGTAGAAGTTCCCTAGGCACCTATGTTTCTGAGCATGTGCACTGCTGCCTCACTCTAGGTGTCTGGATGTCCATCTCCTGCTTAAGCCCTAGTACAATCCACAAACCAGGGGATAGTAGACATTTGCCGACCAGCCCCAGTCCAATATGCATGCTAAGAGTATGCCTACCAGATCGGGCCCCATTCAAAATCAAAGAGGTGATGGTGAGGCCTCCCTCGTAGTGGTTAGAGCACTCATTTGGGATGCAGGGATCCAGGTTCAGGTCTCCCATTTGCCCGATGGGGAGAGAGGATATGAACTGGGATTTCCCACTTCTCAAGAGAGTTGTCTAATCACTAGGCTATGTGATATTGTAACATGGGTATCTTAGTCTTTCCAACGTGGAACACCTTCAATAAGAGAGACTGAGAGCGCTCAGTCATTTGAATATCGTCTAGCCTAGTGGTTAGTGTACTCTCCTTAGAGGTAGAAGACCCCTGTTCAGATCTTCTTTCCCCCTCATGTGGAGGGGGGAATTGAACCTAGGTCTCCCACCACAACCACCTTCTCCTCTGGCATTTCTTACAAGAGCTGCCTAGATACCTAAGCCACCTGACTTCAGGAGAGAGGTTCCCAGCTGTGGACAGCAAGCAGAGATAGGTACTTCCCTGCACTTAAGCGCCTAACTTTTTGATGGGGTGGGGCTTAGAACACATATCTTTCATAGACATTGCCCATTGGCTAGCTTATGTGCTTCCCATCTAGCATGCTGGCATTTGTCGATTACATTCTTAGGTGCGTATCTCTCCCCATTGATTGTATAGGGACCATAGATGCCTAACCCAGGCTTTGTGGATCCCACTGTAGTTCTAGTGATTTTTGTAGGTGCCTAAAGCTTAGGTGTTGCAATGCCTAAGTCCCTTTGTGGATCTGGGCCTCCATTTCCCATCTATAAAATGGGGATAATAGTATTTCTCACAGGAGTGTTGCAGGTCCTCAGATACTATACCAATAGGAGCTAGCTATACAGGTACTTGAGAGAGAGCTATACTTGATTAAGTGTATTGTCTACAATATATTCTTGAAGTCTCAACTTAAGTTGCTTATGGAATCATGTGACACCATTTTATATCTAACTTTGTCAAAAGAAGGTGCAGTTTTTCACCATGATGGAGGAGATGCTAGGGACAGTGTAATGGAACATAGTAATTACGTTACTGGATCAGTCCAGAATCCTGGTCTCAGACAGTGGCCATCACTAGATACTTCAGAAATAGGTGCAAGACCCCCATAGTGTACAGTTATAGAATAAATTCCCCTTGGGGGAAGTTTCTTAAAGTCCAAGCCAAGTTGGCTTATGCCCTAGAGCAGGATGTTTTATATGCATTGTGTTTTATATCTTATCCAATAATGGCGTAGGTGTTGTCATTGTCCGTACAGATCCTTTTTTTGAATCCTGTTAAGTTCTTGGCTTCAATAATAGTTCATGGTATTGAATTCCACAGGTTAATTATGCATTGTGTAAAAGTACTTCCTTTTATCCGTATTAAACTTTCACTTCCATTGGGTGTCTCCTTGTACTTCTATTATAAGAAAAGGTAAATAGCACCTTCTCTGTCATGTCCCCTCTTATTCATCTCCTTTCTAAAACAACCATTGCTAATAGGGTCTGGATGTGGTTGGAGGCCATGAATTTAGATCTTGAAGGGGGAATACTTTGTGTTGCTTAACACTGATCCACTTCAGATGATTAAGACTCTGCTAGCACTTCATCTTAAATAAATCACTTCCATTCCTTAGCTTGAAGGATGGTAGAACTAATCATGTAATTGAAAGAGTGGTGTATGATATAAAATAGGGAAATTCTCTATTCTCACTAGCATCTGGACACACTTCAGCAGTGTTTTTTCTTCTCCCTGGAAGAAAGCCCCATTCTCTTAATTATACCTCATTTTAATAATTTCAGTTAATTGCTTGGCCTTTTAAAAGTTGAAGTAAGCAGAGCTAGAATCCAAAACTGAGCTGAGGCCCTTGATAGCCAATACCGGGTCATCAATTCCATTTTATGACATCAGAATCAAAGCTAAGATCAAGGTACATAGGGAGAGAAAGCTCTAATAATTAACAATTGAACATACAATGTTCTGTGATATGAAGGCTGAATCTTTTAGTTCTCAGTAAGATTTCGGCCAGCAGAGAGAGATTTAGTACTGTTTAAACTTACTATAATTCAGTCATAACAATCCTGCTATTGATCAGCCTGTTGTGGTTAGCTAATTGAAGTGATCTTAAGAGTTGGTCAATACAATGAGCTACCCACTGGACCACACAGAATTCTGATTATTAACTAGAGAGATTCAGCGCTAGACTTCTCAGTTCTACATAGTAAAAAAAAAAAGTAGTCTAGCATGTGAAAACAGGGAAGCTGCCAGAAGTGCTTATTTGAAAAGGACATGATAAAATATTCATATTATTGGGGGGTGTATTATAGCCAAACACTAATCTCAGTCTGCATTGTGCTCATCAGTGCAGAGGTTGAGTACTCTTTTAGACACCTGCATATGCCAGAGTAATCTGGTAAAGGACCATATCTAACCAAAACTCCCTTTTAACCACAATTTGGATATGTCCCTTGGCACATTCACTTGCCAAGTTCTCCAAAACGGATTTGATGTCTTGTTGGGATAAATGGGACCTGTAGTATGCTGAACTTCGTTGAAATTTGTGCCATGTGTCTGAGATTAGAATCTGGCCTGTGCAATAAAATTATAGTGAAAGAAGTGATTTGACATCATAGGCCCCTATCCTGCAAACACTTGCAACATGGGTTTAACTTTACTAGCACAAACAGTCCAATCAAAACCAGTGGGGGCTACTCACACCAATAATGTTAAGCATGTGTATGTTTGCAGGATTGGGGCCTGTTAGTATTAAATTAGGTGGAATAATTGGGCCAAAGGTGTTAATATAACCCAGATACTGTCCGACATTAAATAGTTTTAAATAAGGTTTGGGGTTTGGCATACAAAGACCTCAGCCTCCTTAGTACAGTACCATGGCAAACACACCATTAAAATCTTTCTAAGACTTTATTATAGATACAGAAAAAGAATGAAAAACAGTTAAAGCATTTGAAATGTAAAGTATTGAATAAGGCTTTTGTTTTACAAAATCCCTTGTTCCCTTCCCTTTACCTGGAGAGGTAGTTTGACAATCTCTTAGGTGGTATCAAAGATTGAAGTAACTGTCATTTTGGGTGGAAAGAGAAGAAGTTAGTTGAGATGGGCTGGAGCTGCTGTTGCTGCTATTAAAGTCAAATCCCATTTCGTAAGAGGAAAAAACAAGACACAAACAAAGGGGGAGAGAAAAGAATAGCAAAGAAAATGTAGCTTTTGTCTCTGAAGTTGACTTTCACTTGCAAACCTCACTGCTGGAGAAAACAGGCACAGCACACCATCTTATTAGCCATTCTGGGACTCAACAAGCTCATCCCAGCATTGGGGTGCTTCGGGCATTACTTTTAGCTGCCTCTCTGGTCACAGGCTCACAGCAGTGTTGCAAAATATGCAGTCTTGTCTGACTAAGCCAGGCTTATATTAGACAGAAGGAGAAAGGGGAGAGCGATAGGAAAGAAAAGAAATGTGGTACATAAGGAAAAGAGCACTGCGGGGGTGGGGGGAGTGAAGTTTTACATCCCAGGTTGTGTTCAGGATTTAGCTGAAACTTCTGGAGGTTGTGATGTCATCTGGCTCCCTCTCTCTAGCCCAGCATGGTTAGGAGGGATTAGGATGAAGATGGTCATGGGTTCCAGGAGACAGTGGGGGTGGCAGTCATGATGGTGAAGCTTGCTTGACAGCCCTAAATCGCTTTTTTGAAGGACCTTGAAAGGTAGCGATGGGTGGAATATCCCATCCCCTCAATATTTTTGTTCACCAGTTAGGCCTAGTTTCTGACACAAAAGTTTTGGTTCACTGATTTCTGATCCCACACTTTATGCAGGCATGATCTTAATGCAGTTATTGAGTTCTATCATTGAGTTACTGTCTGCACTATAAAGCAGGAGGCAGGGGGAATGGGTTTGCGCTTTTATTCTTTGTTAGACTGTATGAAGAAGGCCAGAAGAGTTTTTCCTGCTTTCTCTCTCTTTCGGTGTGTGTTGTTGTGTTTTTGTAAACTTTAAAGATACCACAAATATCGGGTCTGGTTATCCCTGGTTTTATAGGAAGGATCCTCAGAGGTCTATTATATGTGAATTTTCTCAGCCCCTAATTCAAGAGCGTGTGTGTTTATAACAAAAACGTTTTCTCCCCAGTGTTTGAGATAAATAAGTGTTAAAAAGTTTTGAGTAGTCTGAATAAAAATACTTTCAATGAATCTTAATGACTATTGCAAACTGCTCCAAGTGCAATGTCCATGTCTTTGACCTTGCCTTCTCTAACAAACAAATAGCTATATATATATTATATAAAATATAATTAGGGCTGTCAAGCAATTAAAAAAAGTAATTGCGATTAATTGCACTGTTAAACAATAATAGAATACCATTTATTTAAATATTTTGGATGTTTTCCACGTTTTCAAATATATTGATTTAAATTCTAACACAGAATACAAAGTGTATGATACTAACTTTATTTTTATTTTTGATTACAAATATTTGCACTGTAAAAAACAAAATCAATAGTATTTGTCAATTCACCTTATACAAGTACTGTATTACAATCTATGTATCATGGAAGTTGAACTTACAAATGTAGAATTATGTACAAAAAATAACTGCATTCAAAAACAAAAATGTAAAACTTCAGAGCCTACAAGTCCACTCAGTCCTCCTTCTTGTTCAGCCAATCAAGTTTGTTTACATTTGCAGGAGATAATGCTGCCTGCTTTTTGTTCACAGTGTCTCCTGAAAGTGAGAACAGGTGTTCGCATGGCACTGTTGTAGCTGGTGTCACAAGATATTTACATGCCAGATTCGCTAAAGATTCATATGTCCCTTCATGCTTCAACCACCATTCCAGAGGACGTGCATCCATGCTGATGATGAGCTCTGTTCGATAATGATCCAAAGCAATGCGGATCGATGCATGTTCATTTTCATCCTTTGAGTCAAATGCCACCAGCGGAAGGTTGATTTTCTTTTTTGGAGGCTCGGGTTCTGTAGTTTCTGCATCGGAGTGTTGCTCTTTTAAGACTTCTGAAAGCATGCTCCACACCTCATCCCTCTCAGATTTTGGAAGGCACTTCAGATTCTTAAACCTTGGGTCGAGTGCTGTAGCTATCTTTAGAAATCTCACATTGGTACCTTCTTTGCATTTTGTCAAATCCGCAGTGAAAGTGTTCTTAAAACAAATAACGTGCTGGGTCATCATCCGAGACGGCTATAACATGAAATATATGGCAGAATGCGGGTAAAATAGAGCCAGGGACATAGTTTTCCCCCAAGGAGTTCAGTCACAAATTTAATTAACACATTATTTTTTTTAATGAGCATCATCAGCAAGGAAGCATATCCTCTGGAATGGTGGCCGAAGCATGAAGGGGCATACAAATGTTTAGCATATCTGGTAGGTAGATACCTTGCAATGCCAGCTACAAAAGTCCCATGAGACTGTCTGTTCTCAATTTCTGGTGACATTGTAAATAAGAAGTGGGCAGCATTATCTCCTGTAAAATGTAAACTTGTTTGTCTTAACAATTGACTGAATGAGAAGTAGTACTGAGTGGACTAGTAGGCTCTAAAATATAGCATTGTTTTGTTTTTGCGTGCAATTATGAAACAAAAAAATCTACATTTGTAAGTTGCACTTTCACGATAAAGAGATTCACGTTATACAAGTACTGTGGTGCAATTGAAAAATACTGTTTCTTTTGTTTATCATTTTTACAGTGCAAATATTTGTAATAAAAATAATAATGTAAAGTAAGCACTGTACACTTTGTAGTCTGTGTTGTAATTGAAATCAATATATTTGAAAATGTAGAAAAACATCCAAAATATTTAATAAATTTCAATTGGTATCCTATTGTTTAATAGTGTGATTAATTGCGATTAATTTTTTTGAGTTAATCACGTGAGTTAACTGTGACTAATCGACAGCCCTTTTATAAATAAATAAAACAAACTGATAGAAAAAGATGCTTCGCTGCACATAGTTCTCTCCGGGGGCAAGAGGATGACCAAACACCAGAACAGATGTGCACTACTAAATGGTGCTCAAATACTCTGGAGATGAGCATAGTATGAGAACCTGTATAGAACAGAATGATGTTTCATTTCCATGGTATTTCTGATGTCATAATCCTACCTGTTCTGAACTCACCCATAGATTTTTCTAGGGAAAATTGTGTAGAAAATACAGATTTTCAAATCGGAAAGGGAGGAAAGTCACTCAGCCCTTCAGATCTTTATATATATATATATATATATATATTTTTTTTTTAAAAAAGGGTTCAAACCCTTTTTTCCCATCTGTAGGTCACTGGCAAATTCTGTTGCACTAAATTCTGCCGTGACCTCCATCCCTGCCCTTACTTCAGTGAGTTTGTGTAGGGGTAAGTCATAATGTAGGGTATTTTGTTTATTTTCATGTTAGACTGAACTCAAGCTATTATGATCCATTAAGGCTTTTATAATATCAGCAATGGTATATTATTGAACTTGTTCAGTTATGGTATCTTTGAAAGGGCATAGGAGAGGGTTTCTCATGCAATGTTACAATGTCTAACAATATAAGACTTTGTAATTCTTAACAAAACCCCTTTGTTTATATATTTTGATCTTGTAGACAATGGCCTTCAAGCACAAAAACGCAAAACGAATCGAAGGGCTTGATGTCAATGTATGGTAAGTGACATATTAAAATATATGCAGAATTCTAAAAATCAACTAGTGTGTTATCTTTTCTAAACTGATTATTTATCCAGCACCACAGAGATATACAACTCTTGTTATCCCTGGTGCTGAATTGTATCCACACGCATACCTAGAAGATAGATTCAGTGGGCCAAATGTGGTGGTGGTGATGTGTATTAAGCCAATACAAGGTCATAAGCTGTGACTAAGTTAGAATTCTGAAGTGCAGAATGAACCAACATAAAACAAAAGTAATTCTCAGCAGGGGTGCTGAAACAATTTGTATATTGGGGGTGCTGAGAGCTATTGAACCAAATTGTAAGCCCTGTATATGATGGAAACCCCTAGTTCCAGCACCTGTGATTCTTAGGTATGGTGGCAACACGGGGCTACAGATTTATAGATTAGTTTTGTTGAACAACCTAGCTTTGCTAATTTACACTGGTTTCATTTAACCATCTTGAACATGTCACTGTAGAAATTAACCTAATATATTTTACTATATTTTTATCCAGGGCTTAAATTGGTCTCAAAGTAGCATCAGGTGTGTCATTGCCAACTAGTGGGATTTCATTAGTTTGTAACATTAACTGAGGGGTTGGACAGATTGTTTAAATGCACTTAGTGCCCTCTCGCTAGTGACCATCCTGCCTCAGACTCCTCGCAGCAATTTCTGTTATTGATGGCTGTGTCTGTGACCCTGTAACCGTAATTTTTTATCTGGTTAACATTTGGATGGTGAGGGAAGGGCAGAAGGAAAGAGCACACATAAAAGGAGGAAAAATTCTGTAATTAACTGTGGCAGGCTTAATGGAACAACTAACAAACTGTATGAATCAGCCCATAGACTGGTATGACTAGGAATGTTTACAGAGCTCAGTGAAAGCAGCAAAGAGTCCTGTGGCACCTTATAGACTAACAGACGTATTGGAGCATGAGCTTTCGTGGGTGAATACCCACTTCGTTGGATGCATGTAGTGGTCCACTATGTTCTGAGTGGAGGGATTCACCCCAGCAGTATTGTTTCACTGCTGCCTTCCTTCAGGGAGTACGTTGGGGGTTGTCAGTTTTTGTTTGCAGCCAGGGTCCCATATGAGTCCTGGCAATACAGGCTGTTCAGGAGATATGCTCTGGAGACACCATCTCACCAGATGGTTCTGCTCACGCTTGGGGTTCCCAGTAGCTTTGCACTGCCCCATCCTCTCCTCTAGTGGTTTTTCCTTTGCTAGAGGCCAATTGCCTTCTGTGAATTTGGCCCACTGTGGATTCAGCCCATTGCTTTTACATTTAAAGTATGACAAATGAGCAGGATAATTTTCTTGGTAAAACTTTTAACACACATTTTTCCCTAGGGTTGAATTTACTAAGGTGGCTGCCGACCCCTCAATTGTTAATCTTGGTCAAGGCCTTCCGGATATATCCCCTCCTAGCTATGTTAAAGAAGAGCTAGCCAAGGCAGCGACAGTTGATAGGCTGAACCAGTACACACGTGGCTTTGTGAGTACATTGAACTTTGGGGAAAGTTTGTTACATGGGAAACTTGAAGACTTGGTTTTAAGTTAGGTGTATAACTTTGTTCCCTTTCATCTTGGCTCCTCTTCCTCCTCCCAGGCGTGGGTTTCTGTAATAGAGCTTACCAGCTGCGGATCAACATACCCAGTGTAGGTTTATTTAAAGCAGAGTCTTTCACTCAGATCATTATCTTATAGTGCAGCATGTGTACCCTGCCAAACCTCTGGCCAGGTCACTTGTGGTCTCACCCCTTCCAGGGAATCCAATTCCAGTACAACAATAGTCCAGTAGCTTCATGCCAGGTCTTCAGCCCAACTTCACATTTACAGGGGAGTCGCATCTTACGCGGGGGTTAGATTCTAAAGTCAGCGCGTAAGGCAAAAATAGCGTGTAATCAAAATTACCCGTGAAAATTCCTTAAATCGCCCATAAAGTACAGTATACTGTACATGGTTTTGTGTATACAACTCTGTACAGTAATATGTATAATGTATACAGTAATGTACAGCATATAATAAAGAGTACATATGCAAAATATAATTTTACAGTATTTTAATTACATGAGAGAGAGAGATGGAAGAATGAAAGAATAAAAAAGGAAAACAGTAAACCTAACCACTCACCATTCATCCTGGATATTCTTGCTAGTCTATGACGACGATAGTGGTGATACGATGACTATGACAATGGTGATGCGATGACGATGAATGATGAGATGATGAAGATGGGCGTCTGTATGATGAATGATGAGACGATGAAGATGAGCGCTGTACACACTCCGATCATTAGTCTTCCTCTTCCTCTTACAACACTATTGGGGAGTCGTCAGGGCTTGATGTCGATCCAGGAGACGGAGGTGATGGAGAGCGAGTCGTAGATGAAGTGGTTGGCTCTGGTTCAGCTTGAGAAGTTGATTGGGTAGGCTCATCTGCTGCTGGTTGTTTTTTCTTGAAAAACATGGTGATTGGCAACTGTCGCTGTTGTCTCTTGAGCTGCTCAAACATTTCTTTATACGGTCTCAAATCGTTCGTAATACTATGTGTGATTTTGAGGCTTTGTTCCATAGAGGGATCATATTCAGAAATTAAATCATTCAAGTGTTTTGCTGCTTGGAACACTTCAGCAAATTTATGAAGATTATAGCTTGCTGGCTCTTCCTGTTCGTTGTCCTCATCTTCGTCTTCTGTAGACGATTTTATCAGTTCCTCTAACTCTTCATTAGTCAATGTTTCTCTATGGCCCTCAATTAATTCTTCAATTTCTTCCTCAAGGATGTCGACGAAGCCATCACCACCCACTTGCCTGGTCACCTGAACAATGCGTTTCACTTCTTTGTCAATGGTTGGGAAACCCTTAAAATCATTCACACGTTCTTTCCATAGGTTTCACCAACATGCATTGACTGTTTCAGGCTTGATTGCATCCATTGCCTGTTTAATATAAGTGATGCAATTGGCAATGTTGAAGGACTTCAAACACTCCATCACATTAAGATTGGGATCAGCATCCATAGCGCTACATATCCATGAGAACGTAAGCCTCGTGTACGTGGCCTTGAAACAGCGAATCACGCCTTTGTCGAGAGGTTGGAGGATGGAGGTGGTATTGGGGGGGAGAAAGACTACTTCAATGTTGTTATGCACAAACCGGAGTGCTTCAGGGTGGCCAGGAGCATTGTCTCCGATCAGCAACACTTTAAAGTCAAGTCCTTTCTCTTCAAGGTACCGCTTGACCTCTGGAATGAAACACTTGTGGAACCAATCCAGAAATAATGCTGCCGTCACCCAAGCCTTTTTATTTGATTGCCAGAACACAGGCAGGAGATTTTTGTTCTTGCCTTTTAGGGCACGGGGATTTGCAGCCCTGTATAGCAAGCCTGGCTTTATTAAATGCCCAGCCGCATTGCCACAAAACAACACAGTCACATGGTCTTTAGCTGCTTTGAAGCCAGGGGCTTGTCTTTCTGATTTCAAAGTGTAAGTGCGGTTGGGCATTTTTTTCCAGAAGAGCCCAATCTCGTCAGCATTAAAAACTTGTTCCGGAAGATAGCCCTTTTCTTCTATGATTTTCTTTAATTGTTCGGGATAGGCTTTTGTGGCCTCTTCATTGGCAGATGCAGCTTCACCAGTAGTCTGCATGTTTTTGAGGTTGAAGCGGTTCCTAAAACCGTTAAGCCAACCTTGGCTGGCTTTGAATTCCTTCTCGTCAGAAGGCTGTCCCTCTTCGGCGGGAGGTTTGAACAGCGCATAGAGGCTAAGAGCCTTTTCTCGCAGCGTGTTGCCATTGATAGGCACACGTTTACAGTTCATGTCTTCCAGCCATAAGTTTAATGCCTTTTCAGTCTTCACTAAAGTCTTATCACGCACCTGGCTCATCACCTTAGCAGTTATTGGAGCACTTGATGCCACGGCTTGACGAATTTCTCTCTCTCGAATCTTGATGGCACGGATGCTAGATTCGTTGCAGCCATATTTACGCGACACGTTGGAGACCAACATACCGTCTCTCAATAAGTCCAACACAGCCAGTTTTTCCTCCAGCGTTGGAACAGATCGCTGTTTCTTTGGTTGAGCACCAGATGAAGTAGTTGGCTTGCGTTTAGGGGCCACATTGTACGAAAAATACGTATCTTTAAACACTAGAATCCCACTCAGTGCGGCGAGATGCTCACACTATGAGAGGCATGCAGGAACCGAGACTGACTGAGGGAACAGCAGATTCATGTCTCCCATCTCCTGCTCACTCTGGGGCATACGCTCATTGAGTGGAATGGTGGGCGGAATCGCCCGCACTACTGTATTTAAATTGTTATTTTTCTTGCTGCGCGTGTATAGTTGAATTCGCGTAAGTTAAATGTGCGTATGATGCAACTCCACTGTATTGGCCTTCCAGCCCTTGTCTCCAGGAATCTCCACACCACCATCCTCAGAGGGTCAGTAGGGGAAGTAGACCCACCCTTCCCTGTGGGTTCCAGTCCAGGGACCCTGCAATAAGTTGCTAAGGTATGTCTATTCAGACTTTCGCTTCTTCCGTAGGTTACTTCCTACCTCAGCCTGGCCTCAGATTCCAATAGGAGAGTAAATTAGTTACAGGGAACAAAGCAAAGTCAAAGGTTGTATACGAGGCCTACGTGCCCCAGAGAGACTCTGGCATCTAGCGGTTTCTAGTTTTCTGCTGGGTCCAGCTGGCCTCTCTTCAAGGGGTTAGCACAAGAAATCCGCATCTTCTCCCAGTTAGCCACTACTAAGTTGGGCCGAGGCCCTAGAAAGTTGAGACTTCCTTGTCAACCTCCTCCTGGTGCTGGCCAAGATGGCCATCCATTACACCAGGAGGAGGAATCTGGACAGTTCTGATGCTCTATGACTATGGGGGTCTATTTCCAGTCTCATCCAGTTGCCTCCAGGCAGAATTCCTCTGGGCAATACACAGACTCCTTAGATGCCTTTAAGGAGTAGTGAGTGCTGTCCAGGGTTCGCTGCTTGGTGTCCCCTTCTGGTTCCTGACTTTTCAACCTTTCACTCTAAACTCTTTTTTTTTCTCCCCCCTTTCTTTCTTTCTTTCTTCATTCATTGTCCCAAGAATTCAGTTGTGGCCTGGGTTCAGGGTCCCCTTTGGTCTAGTTCTGGCAGGCCTAGGCCTGCCCATCTCAGTACCCACGATAGATACTTAAGCCAGGCTTTTCCTCTTTTATCTCCTCCCTCCAGGCTTGACAGCTCTCACAGGTGTAATGTGTTGAGGTTTATTGAGCCCACAGGCTCTCATTAACCTCTTTCAGCCAGTGGGGGGCCTATATACCCCATCACAATACAGACAGATGGGGGAGTGCAAGGAAAGGAAACAATGTTACCTCTCCCTCTCTGTGTCCCTATAGGGGAGGGGATGAAATGGGGTCATATATTATCCTTCATAACTGTCCTAGCACATCAGAGGCTCCTGGAGCTACTTTTGTGGTAGGATGATGCTAAACTGGCATTTTAGAACTCAAAACCATCAGATGTAGAAAGAATTGCCTGGTAGGAATCAAGAAATTGAACCTCTCCTCCTTCCCCATCACCCACAAACCCCTTTAAAACCCACTAGTGATTTTTGGCTAAAACTCCTAGTAGTGTAGGGGCTCACCTCGTATTTTTCTTCGTTTCAAACAAACAACCTCACCCCCACCCCTCGTTTTTATTTTTGTGTATGAAAGAAATCAAACACTTGCAGCACAAAATCTCCTCTAAATCATCCCAGTAATCTCCTAACTATTAATAATTCTGCCCTCAGTTATTTCTGTTTATTGAGAGGTAAGGCGTGTATGTGTGTGTAGATAGATTTTGTATTATCAGTTGTCTGTATTACCTATTACTTAATACATAGCGCACACATCCAAGTGTGTTTTTTCTTTATTTTGAACAGGGCCATCCATTGCTGGTGAAAGCCTTGTCCCAGGTATATGAGAAGGTTTGTGGAAGGAAGATTGACCCTTACACAGACATCTTGGTGACAGTGGGAGGATATGGATCTCTGTTTAGTGCAATACAGGGGTTAATTGAAGAGGGAGATGAAGTAAGCTTTATCTGAAGTATTTTATTATAGCTACCAAAATAAAATTAATTATGTTGATGTTTTGTTTTTAATGTTTTAAAAAATATATAAATTGCAGTTTTATCTATTTGGCCTACGCCAGACAATTAAGAGCCCTGTCATGTAGATGAGGGGCTGGCAAACATTTTTAGAGATTAGGCCAGTGGTCCCCAACCTTTTTCGTCTGGCGGGTGCCAGACGACGAGCCACGGAGGACCCTGGTGGCGGACGAGCATCCGCCGAAATGCCGCCGATAAGCAGCAACGTCAATAGGCATCACCGCCGAAATGCCAGTACACGCGCGCACTTAGGCGCCCCGGCGGGCACCGTGTTGGGGACCCCGGACTAGGCCACATCTCAATAAGGAGACTGTCTCGTGAGTGCCTCCATCCCATTCACCAACATTTAGGCCTCCTCTCCTATTTATTGTACTTTTCGTAGCTTCTGCATCATTGTTGCTGTTAACACCCACTGATTCCTATTTTACGAACTTTGTGGGCTGCTGTCTGCATCAAGAAGCTAAATATGGTGCAAGGTATCTGTTCTCAATGTTTGAATAGCCATTATATTTCAGATTTTGTTTCAGACTATTATATGGTACCAATGTGAAGGGGGGAAAAAAAGTATACGCATTTTAAAGTTAGGATCATACCCCAGTATTTGTGTTCGTATGTTAGCTCTGATGATTTATCCTTTCATTATTGTTTTGTTTCCCACTGCTACCAGATACTTGAAATGGCTTTTTGGGAGGCACTGTAACTGACAAGTGCTTTTTCTGGTGTGGTACATTGGCTTTTTTCCTTAAGACTACTTCTGTTTTGTGTTCTCCTCTGTTTTCTCTCTCTTCCCGGTTGCTTTGATCTTCTCTCCCATTTTGTCTCTGTCACTCTTTGAGTCTTTCGTATTACCCTAATCCTTTGCCATTGTTCACTACCCCTTTTGCCTCCTCTCTCCACATTTTAATACCTTTTGTGTCTCTGTCTGTAAGCACTTCTAACATTATATGCTAGTAGCAACTGTAGCGTTTAACTTGAGAAGAACTGCCCACGTCTAACCTCTGAAGTACTACCAATAATTAGTAGTACCTCTAATTTTCAGATTGAGAACATTGCCATATGATGTCCTAAGACGATGAAAATTGTGCATTATCAAATCAAGGTTGAATGCCCAAGGTGCACAGTAAATTCATATGGCCAAAGTAAATCTGAAGAAAGTAATATGATGTTACTACACATAGTAATTTCTCAATTCTAGGTCTTGCTGACTGTGTTTTAATTTCAGGTGATAATAATAGAGCCATTTTTTGACTGTTATGAGCCCATGGTGAAGATGGCAGGAGGAAAACCTGTTTTTATCCCATTGAGATATGTATGTTTTTTTTAAAAAAATCATTATTATTAATCACCAAATTCAGAATTCTTTTGTGAGACTAATAACATTTGATAATCACATTATAGGAGATGGTCTCTGTCTAGTTTTTCTTAACACAACTATATAATAAATGAGATAAAATGCAACAATATAAGGCTCAGAGGTGATGCTATCCAAAGCATTATAGACATAGTGTTCTATAAGTGTTGTAAAGAGTAGGGCCCTGTTTCCCATTTAATTCAACTTCTGCATGCTGAAAGCTCCTAAAGTCCTTTTGTTTGACACCATCAGAAAAGTTTTTTGAAACACAAAATAATGGAAGGGTGATCACATGCCCATACAGTTTACATATTTTTTATTTTAAAGAGTTGGTTTCTGATCCTGTTCAGCAGCTTGTGAAGTTATGAGATATAGTCTCTATTCCAAAAACTGCCTACTAAATTAGGAATGGTCTTCCATTTACCACAAAAAGTGGAATGACTGTTTCCTTTTTAGTTATGGAGATGAGCAATTTCTCTGTGGTTGATTTTCAAATAGCAACACCTCAGATATTTGAAAGAAAACTACTAATTAGTTGTAATGAAAGGACTAGAAAACTTTTGTTCTTTGGAACAAAAATCAAGAGGGATGGGTATTGAAGCATCCTAGTATTATTCTTCCAGTCTATGGAAGGCATTATGCCTGCACTGTGTGCAGTTGAGCTCCCACAGTTTTGTGGGCAGCAGAGCTGGGGATAACTGTTCTACAGCATTAGTAACATCCTGAAGACTTGCAGGGATTTCCCTGTATAAGAAATTTTGACCCTGTCATTGTGAACGTAGGTGAACTCCAGCAGTTCTTATGCCATGTCCCTCACTGTAATGTGTAACTGTATGAAGCTTAGAAGGGTCATGCTCCCTATCTGCTCCATGATTGGCTGAAGCTTTCTCCTCTTGACTACATGTTGCAGCAGGGCACAGATAGTTTCCTAACTTTGGTCTTCCTGTGGGCTTTGCATAGAGAAAGGCATAGTCTGGGCTAGAATGTGTGTTGCACTTAAGTAGTACAGACATTTATTTCTATTCTAGAAAACTGTTGTTGGGAACTCTGCATCTAGTGCTGATTGGGTCTTAGATCCCACTGAACTTGCAAGTACATTTAATTCCAGAACAAAAGCTATCATACTGAATACTCCTCACAACCCTATAGGCAAGGTAAGACTTCCATTCTAGTTGAACATAGTAGCTGTAATTTCAGAGTGTATCTTAAATACACTGATTAATGCATTGGCCCTTCCTTTTTGCATTCTAGGTATTTACCAAAGAAGAACTCCAGGTAATAGCTGATCTCTGTATTAAACATGACACCCTGTGCTTCAGTGATGAGGTATATGAATGGCTGGTGTACAAAGGAAATAAACACATTAAAATAGGTACTGATTTTTGTATAGCCACGCAGACGGTTGTGGAAGGATATCATAAATGTGCATCTCAAAGTTAACTGATGCTGTCAAGTAGTTCAAACCATAATTATGGTTTAGTTTAAAATGATGAAACTCTGATGAGGAACGTCCTTTATTTTCTAAACCTTTATTTAAAAGATTAAAGGTGGAATTTTCAAAAGCATCTAAGTGACTGAGGCATGCAAGTCCCATAGAAAGTGGATGGGCCTTGTGCTCCTAAACCACTTGGGTCCTATTGAAAATCCCACCCTAATTCAATTCTTTGTTGCCAAGAATAAGATAATCACTGTTTAAGTATCTACATCTCAGTGGTGTGCTTTGTTGCAGAGCTAGCTGAGGGAAGGGAACAGGAGATCACTAACAAACCTCTTTCCTGGAGCTCTGCTGATATAATCAGTGAGGCTAGTGCATAATAAGGAAACCACATTACTGCTTGCCCCATAATAAACAGGAAAAAAAAAAACATTGGCAAAAGGTAAAGAACAAAAGTGTAGGAAAGATTATTTCCTACACCCTCCTCCCAAGCAGAGGGTATTAAAAATAATGGGCATTTCAAACAGTGAAATAACTCTGGGGGCTATGTGGAGACGTGCTTCAGTAGTTCTCTCAGGCAGAGATGCTATGTGGACAAACTAAACCATTGCAAGGACAAATCAGACAACTAAACATTTAATGCTATCATGGACCCTGCAATATTTTCCTTTCGTAGGGTCTGATCCATCTCTAACTGAAGTCAATGAAAACCGTTCCACTGACTTCACTAGGAGCTGGATCTTAGTATAGGCACATCCAATATATGCTACCAATAACCCTAATGCAAATTCTGCAAACACTTTTACATGTGCTTAGTATTACGTTTGTGAGTAGTCCTGCTGAAGTCTATGGGATTGCACAAGTGCTTAAGTTAATCAAATGTGTAAATGTTTGCAGGTTGTGGCCTTAGTTTGAATCCTAGTTAGTGGATTGTGAGAAGTCTGAAATCCCTTGCCTTGCTAATTAGTACTAAGGATTATCTTCTCAGCTATACACAGGTTTTGGTTCTGGAAGTAGCTATTTGCATGAACACCCAGCTGAAAGGTAGAGTTATACAGTCCCATGTTATCACAAGGAAGGTGAATTTTAATGATGCCCAACAAAGTAGCCCTGTTGAAATTAAAATGTTAACCCAAAAGGCATAAAATTAACTTTCCTGACAGTCGGAAGAACTGTGTTCTGTTCCTGGCTCTGATGCTGATATAATGTGTGGCCTTGAGCAAACCATTTCATGTTTCCATGCCTCGGTTTCCCCATCTTTTAAAGTGGCAATCATTATATCCTTCTTTATAAAGTGCTTTGAGATTGACAGATGAAAACCACTAATTTTTATTAATGATAAAATTGATATAATTAACTAGGAATACGCAAATATTGTTTTTTTGTCTACAATGACTTTGGAATGCGGGTAATTAAGATGAGTTTAGTGTAACTGAATTAATGTATTGTTTTCTGCTTGCTGAAAATGCAGTCCTTTTGCACGCTCAGCTCCCACTGATACCCGTGGGATGTGCTGGCCACAAGTTTGTTTTTTGCTTTCTAATGCTATTTAAAAAAAATGGTGGCCTAATGATAATATCATGCAAGAGGCCTGTTGCCCACTGGGACATGGAGGAAATAAAACTCTTAGTTTTATTAGTATATTATTAGTATAACTTTGTTTTAACATTTTGAAGGGAAAATACCAGATGAATAAAAAGCATTTTTATTGCACAACATAAAATTTACAATTCCAGTGTGATAATGACTCAAGTTAAAGCTTAGAGTGTTAGTCAACTGGGTTTAGCTACATGCTCTAACAGATCCCATCAAATGATCTTACAATTTATTGTTAAAAACCTACCAACCATAAAACCTTCAGAGTAAAAATGTAACTGATAAAGTCATTTTACTAAAAGAAGCAAGACTTTTTTTTTTAAACCTCAGCTTCTTAGTTTTTATAACTGTACATTAAAAATAATACAAGAAAAAAGATTCACTACTTAGAAGCTGCAAGGTTTTTATATTAAGCTTTACATACTCAATCAAATGCAGTGACACTTCTTACATGAAAGATGCAAAATGGATATTACAGAGTCTGGTGGTGGTTCTTATTATATAATCTAATAGGGTAGCTAGTCATATATCATAAAATTAGCATAGTCTTTATTCTGTCGCCCAGGCAGTCTTCTCTAATATAGAACACTTCATCATGTCTCTAACCCTTATCTGACTTTTGTAAAAGTGCAAATCTCTTATGAGTAACCATTAGAGGTACAGTGGCAGATTTAGAGTTCTCATATCATAACTGAGGATTCTGTTGGCATTTCAACAAACAGAGTGCCAGCCCAGGTAACATGCTTATACGTGTTACCTTACAGATAATTCCCAGCACTTGATTGGTGTTAAAATGATATTAAACCATACTGAGTTTGAATATAATGATACTGCCATATGGCATGGAAAAAATGCTCCCCATTCCATTTAATCCTGCGTATTAATTTATTGCTTGTGAAAGTGATAGACTGCCCTTTTCCCCTCCACTTTCTCCCTGCTATTATTGTTTGGAATGCTCCTGCTATCTGTCCCCAAGCTTGAATTCCTAGGAATAGGTTGCAAAACAGTCTGTCTACTTTTAAAAGTTAGGTCAACGAAGCTATGGCGCTCACGGGCTGAGCTGCAGCTTCCATTGACCTAGCTATCACCACTTGGAAAGTTGGATTATCTACTGTGAAGGAAAAACCCCTTCTGTCACTGTAGGAAGTGTCTCGGCTAAGTGGCGTGCTTGTAGCTGTAGCACCTATAGTGTAGACATGGCCTAAATAGAGGGCACCTGGCTTTGAAATTCACTCGTCCTTGCAATATGCTAGAGACAGTTTGTCAGCCTTTAGGACATGGTGCTTAAATACTACAGCCTACATAGCTGAATCGAAGATGCATCTGTTCAAACTGACTTTTTGTTTTCAAGATTACTGGTCAGTTGGAGTGGGTAAGTGCTGGTTAGGGGGAAGATCAGGGCCAGCGCTTCCACTAGGTGACCCTAGGCGGTCGCCTAGGGCGGCAGGATTTGGGGGGCGGCAATTCGGCGGCGGGGGTCCTTCCGTTCCGCGTCTTCGGAGTGCTTCAGCGGCGGGTCCTTCACTCGCTCCGGGACCTGCCGCTGAAGCGCCCCGAAAACGCAGAGCGGAAGGACCCCCGCCGCCGAATGCTCTGAGGAGGAGCGCTGCCGCCTAGGGTGGCAAAAACCCTGGCGCCGCTCCTGGGGAAGATGGTCTCTCGTTTGCTAATTGTTTTGTGCTTTACATTTGTAAATGTGCCCCAAAATGACAGTGATGGGCACTGGCTTGAACCAGTTCTAGTGCAGGGAGGTACTGTGAAAACTTGCCTATGGAATTTTGCCATTACGTCTATGACAGCCTTGCTTATGGGCCTCCCTAGAGAAAACTCCTGACAGTTGTGCTGGATTTGGCAATAGCTCTTTAGTATGACAATATGGTAGAATGGGATGCAACAGGACCACTAAAATCACTACTCCTTGTGCCCTCCTCTAACCTTATATGTAACAACTTTTGGGAAACACATCTGGGTTTATCCTATGAAGTGATCCATGGATTGTGAGAGTCAGAAAGGACATTCCATTGAAGCCATCTGTGAAAAAGCCTGCAGCTACAAGAAAAATCTTTTGCTCTACCAGAATTAAAATGGCCTTAATTTGGTTTAGCATAATTCACTATATATTATACCAACTGAAGGTCACTTTAATGCTGAATGGAGTTTCCACACAAAAATTTAATGTGGTTTGACAAATTCACTTTAAATTCTCAACTTTAGTTAATTTGTATTAACTTTCCTGAGTGTCCCCACCTACCATGTGTTCGATAGCATGAATTAAGAACACACCTTTTTTCCTAGTGAAGAGGCACCCTGAAAGGTGTGATCGCTCATTCATCTCAATACACTATTAATTCTGAGGCCTGGCAATGACAGTGTAATTGTCAAGTATCAGGGGGTAGCCGTGTTAGTCTGTATCCACAAAAACAACAAGGAATCTGGTGGCACCTTAAAGACTAACAGATTTATTTGTGCATAAGCTTTTGTGGGTAAAAAACCTCATTTCTTCAGATGCATGGAGTGAAAATTACAGATGCAGGCATTATATAATGACCCATGAAGAGAAGGGAGTACCTCACAAGTGGAGAACCAGTGTTGACAGGGCCAATTCGATCTGGATGGATGTAGTCCACTCCCAAAAATAGACGAGGAGGTGTCAATTCCAGGAGAGGCATAGCTGCTTTTGTAATGAGCCAGCCACTCCCAGTCCCTATTCAAGCCCAAATTAATGATGTTAAATTTGCAAATGGATTTTAGTTCTGCAGTTTCTCTTTGAAGTCTGTTTCTGAAGTTTTTTATTGGGAGTGGACTACATCCACCCTGATCGAATTGGCCCTGTCAACACTGGTTCTCCACTTGTGAGGTAACTCCCTTCTCTTCATGGGTTATTATATAGTGTAAATGTCAACATTCCGTACTTCTGCACTGGAATAAAAGCCCTGTGGCACAGTCATGGCTGGCTCGAGTCAGCTGATTCAGGCTTATGGGGCTCAGGCTGCAGGACTAAAAATTGCTGTGTTAGGGCTTGGGCTGGTGCCCGAATGTCTACACAGCAATTTTTCAGCCCTGGATCCTGAGCGTGAGTCAGCTGACCTGGGCCAGCTGTGAGTTTTTTATCCCAGTGTAGACATATCCACTGTTAACTAATTCACTGCTGATCATTGTAACAGACTTGTCCAGCTAACAATCCCCGTGTAGCTGGATACTACAGAAATCCGAGATGAAAGAGCTATCAAGGTCTGTGGCATAAACCAACAGCCCAAGAACCATCCAAAAGTGTTGAGAAAAGAGCAAATAACTCCTGGATTTAGCCACACTGCAGCTGGGAGGTGTAATTCTGGTAAATCTGCCAGCTCTGATCAAGTTAGTGCGCTAAAAATAGCATGGGTGGCAGCTCAAGCTAGCTGCACAAGCACAATCATGTCTAAGATCCTAGGTATGTACTCGGGTGGCGGCTCTGGCTAGCTGCCTGCGCTGCTGCAGCCACATTGCTATTTTTAGCACACCAGCTTGATCAGAGCTAGTGCCTGTATGTCTACCTGAGTTGGGAATCACACCTCCCACCTGCAGAGTAGACCTATTGTATATGCTAGATAGTCGGAACAGATCTGGGAGTTTCAACCAAAAGCAGATAGCCAGGGATGCTTTTGGAAGTCTCATTCTGTAGCTCAGGTCAGCTCTACAATGCAGACTTCTGCCAGCATGGTTATGTCTGTCAGGGATCACACCTCTGCACACTCTTGACAGACATAACTATGCTGGCAGGTCAGGAGTGTGAAGAGGTTTGATCCCTGACAGATAAAGCTGTGCAGGCAGAAACCCCTGGTCTAGATGCAGACATGCCAGCAAACCTGTTTTCATTCCTGGGATGTGGTTTTGCTATATTGGTACGAAGCGCAGCTTTGCCAGTATCTCTGCCTCCACACTAGGGCACTTTGCTGGTATAGTATAGCACTAGTCCTATACCTGTAAAGTGCTCCTAATGTAGACATAACCTAACTCTGCAAAACTCAGTGAGGAATCCACTTTCTGCAAGTCTGAAGGCACATTTTGACTCTCAGCAGCTGATGAAATCTATTTAAGTACGTTAATATTACATTTTGGTGGGAAATAGCACCAATACCTGTAGTCATAAGGGTCTGACATTGATTTTTTTTTTAAATTAAAGCTTAAATTCTACAGAAATTGAGGTGTTGAGAAACACTTTGGCTGGCTGCAGGAAGGCTGAGACTGTGCATTACAGGGATACAGTTGTGAGTCTCAGTAGTAGATGTAACAGTTCAACTATTCCCGTGTATTTTATAAACGGTAGCGAAGATTGGCAGATACTATGGATTTTGAGATACACTGTAATCAATCCCATGATGATTATTTGGATTTTGCTGTTATCCGGTGACAGCTGAGAAACTATTTCATTGCCCTTTCTTTCACCCCCTCTCAGTTCGAAACTTATTCTCAAGGGATAGATGTTTTTCGAGTTGCTGACGTAGAATTAGTAGATGTCTGGGGGTGTGGATGGCTCAGTCACCACAACTGGCACTGGTTAATATTCCTAATGGCAGCACCAGCAGAGTGGACAAGGATTGAATGGCCATAGAGGAGGTAGATTTCTAGGGGTGATCCCACCAATTCAGATTAAAGCACAATGAGAGGGAAATGTAGCAGAGCTTTCCAGTGGTCATGCAGCATTTGTTCTGTGGTTAGATGAAGGCCTTGCTCTCCAGGGCTGACAGTCTGGTTCTTTTTCACAAGAACAAAATTCATACTAAAACGAAAGATGTTTTCACTCTGTGTGTCTTGCCTCATTCCTTAACTTTCTTCTTTTGTTGATCCTTGCCTAATTTCTATTCCAAAATACATTTGTCCATTTTTCATTTAATTTAAGAATTTTTCTCCTAGCTTTGTTTGTTACAATATTATATTTAAAATACTGCTGCTCTGAGCTAGGAACAGTACAGGTTTTGTGATTGTATGGAACATGAATGTGCACTGGCAACCAAGTCACTTTATTTTATGTACAGCTACACTGCCAGGCATGTGGGAGAGAACAATAACTATAGGAAGTGCTGGAAAGACCTACAGTGTCACTGGCTGGAAGGTAAGAATAACAAGAGTAAGAGATCTGTTACATAAATAATATGTATTTATCTGACCTGAACCCTGTCTATTTTTGCATTCTGTCATTTGAAAGCTTACTGTGCATCCAACTCACAAAAAATTACAGACAATATTCACTTGGAGATGCTACCTACCTTTAATATGCACTCTCTAACCATGCTCTTATTAATTGTAAAAATAAACGCTTGTGAAAGTGAAACAGAAGGGTGAATATTAAAAAATTAAGTACAAAACACTATTTGCTTTGCAGAAAGAGCCAAGACTGCCGAAGGATAAACACAGAGTATTGTTTAAAACCTGTTTCCAGTTTTGTGAAGCGGGTGTAAATGTTGGCATTAAAACATCTAAGGATCTTATGGTTTCCACAGATCAGTCTAGAACACCATTGCTTGTGTGCACAATTATTTTAGCCTACAAAATTGCACCTGTAATACATTGGAAATGCAACAATTCAGGCTAGCTTGAGGTCCCATTATTTGTGACCAATAATATTTTATTTCGCTCTGGTAAAGTAATGACAATGTTTTATACTGATTACTAAAACAAATACAAAAATATTAAAACATCTAGCAGCAGATTTTCAACTTCAGTTGCAACAAGTATGTTAGCAAAAATATCCATAATCAGAGCAGCACCTTTCTCTTCTTTCTTATTTATCAGCTGTATCCAGTCTACACCATGGCACACTAGTTTCTGTGTGGCATTTGGCCAAGTGTATATTTGGTTGTGTATCACACACAAAACATTTGTTTTTGCCTTTTATGGCTCCTTTATAAAGGTGGCTTGAAACTTTAATTCCCCCACTCCCCTCTACCAATGATTTGGGGGAAGGGGAGGAACAGTTCAAATCATGGCCCCATATAACATCAGTAGTGAAGTCCTCCAAAAAGAGAGTGAAGCAATTAACTGATACTTCTAACAGTTTAAAAAAACAACAACAACAACAAAAACCCAAACTGGCAGGGTAGGAAAAGAATAAGAAATTTGACGGCATGGTTACACACTACAAAGGGACAGCAAAAGAAAATACCACTTTGTGAGTAAGAGACAATCACTCCGCTGCCATTTAGGGACTTGTATACCATTGTGTAGTTTTTGATATATTTTGGGGCAATTCCATGCATCTAAGGCTTGGTCTACACTAACCCCCGCACTTCGGACTAAGGTACGCAAATTCAGCTACGTTATTAACGTAGCTGAATTCGAAGTACCTTAGTCCGAAGTTACCGCGGTCCAGACGCGGCAGGAAGGCTCCCCCGTCGATGCTGCGTACTCCGCTCGCCGAGCTGGAGTACCAGCGTCGACGGCGAGCACTTCCGGGATCGATCCGGGGCACTTCCGGGATCGATCCGGGATCGATTTATCGCGTCTTAACCAGACGCGATAAATCGAACTCAGAAAACCGATTGCTTACATCCGGACCCGGATGTAAGTGAAGACGTACCCTAAAACACCTGTGTGACATGAAGAAGGTGCCTAGGAAACAAAAGATGGAAGTGTTTATATAAAAAAAGCCGGAATAACTTTAATTATTACAGTGTAAACACTCAGTCTGTTTTCTGCCCGATGGTATGTGATGCATTAGGTTTGTGCTACACAACAGCAGAGTTCAAGGACATTTTAATTAGTATATATGAGTCTTATCTCCAGCATTTCTAAACCTGCCATTTAGCAAAACTTGTACAGTTTCTATGTCAACAAAAGTGCACTATTGCTTCTTCCCACTGTGAAGACCTCGAATTCTTTCAACTTTTAATTCTTTATTATGAGTTCTAATTGCTAACTTGCCTTATGTTTAAGATGTGTCTGTGTTTTCTCCTCTCCCTTAGCTTGGATGGTCCATTGGTCCACAGCATTTGATAAAACATTTGCAAGTTGTTCAGCAGAATACGCTGTATACATGCCCAACTCCGTTACAGGTAGATACAGATGGGAGAGGAGAGAGGTTCTGTTTGTACTGTGTCTTCCATAAAGGAGCTGGGGCCTCTAGGCACTACTGCAATACAATTAATACAAATTAGTATGAATTTTGAGATGTCTAAATATTTTTATGTAGATTCTTGGGGATAAGCGTGCTGGTAGAGAAGGCAAATTTGAGAGTCACTAATGAGGCAATTTAAAAAATTCTTGCAAATTCTCACTGCATTAATCTGCAAAGGTGAGCATTGTTGCACAAAGCCTGGCAGCCTCACTCCTTTCTCAGCAAAAATGTAATTACAAGATGCTGCAGTGACCACTCATATTGCTGTGAATTACTTTTACCAAACAGTCTACAGTTTATTTACTAGTATTCTATCATGTATTAGCATCAATAATTAAAACTAAACTATACTTCAAATTACACTGTAAACTCTTGAGGCAAGGACTGTAACTTCCTCTGTCTGGAGCAATGCCTAGCAGAATGGGGCCCTGATCCTGATAGGGACTTTTAGGTGTTACAATACTAGAAAGAGTAAATAATAACTTGTCAAAATAAATGCACAAGTTACATTTTGTGATGCAGTGGTTTGGGGTATTTGTGGACTCAGTAAGACCCTGGCCCTGCAAAGGGATCTATGTGAGAAGGCCCATACACCATGCAAAGTCCCAGTGACCTCTCCCAGTAACTTCAGTAGGACTCTGCATGGGTGCAAAGGTCCACCTGCAAGAAATCTTTGTATGCTGATTATGTTTGCAGGAGGCGTTGGCACAAGCACTTTGGATTGACTTTAAACGTATGGATGACCCAGACTGCTACTTTTACTCGCTGTCTCGAGAGTTGGAAGGCAAGCGTAATCGGATGGCTCAGCTACTCCAAGAAGTTGGATTGAAACCTGTCATTCCAGATGGAGGATACTTCATGATTGTTGATGTTTCTGCACTCAGTTAGTGAAGGTTTATTATGGAGGGAGTGGGAGCATATGCTATAGTTAAGATTAAAGTGCAACTTCCATTTTAACGGCCCCTTTTTCTCAGTTTCTCATAACACTTTCAAGCAAACTCAGTTTTGGGCTAAAATGTTCTGTGTGTGAACTTGGCCCAGAGGTGATTATTATTGTAAGTTTTGGTAAAATCCGTTCATCCATTTTTGAGTGGTGTGATTTCTAATTACTGCCTTTGTATTACTTTTTCATTTAATCAAGTCTGATGGCTGTTGCAGGGAAGATGTGTAATTAGGGTTAGGAGAGAAGGTGGTTAACTGGATTTCTATTTTAGGAAGGTATATGATTTGCAAAAGTTTGAGAATTACTGATCTGTGCCTTAAAATCTTGGGCCCACACCCACAGACTTTCCTGTTCAGTTTTTTCCCTTAATCTAAAGTCAAACACTGGAGGCACTGTAAAGCACTTTAGTTCAATCAATATTTAAAAGGACTTTCAAATTTCACCAGAGTTTACCAATCCTTCCGAAAGTTCTGGATATCATAATATCAGAGGAAGAATTTACCCTAGAATTCATTCCTCTAGGGATGTGTACATTTAAATCGCTACAGAGGCACAACTGCAGCTGTTGCACTTCAGTGTAGGTAGTACACTGATGGGAGGGATTCTGCCAATGCCATAGGTAATGGACCTCCTTGTGTCAAAGGAAGAATTCTTATGATTATGCTGTCTACGCCAGGGGCTAGGTCATTATAGCTGCATCTCTCAGAGGTGTGGATTTTTCCTAGTTCCTAGTGTAGACCGGGCCCCATTCTCATGTCTTCCATTGACTGCCTGTAATAGCACTTTGCACTTATGTTAATTAGGCCTCATAGTACCCCTTTGAAATAGGTAAATATCCCATTTCCCCGCCACCAAAGTCATACAAGTCAGTGTCAAAACCAGGATTAGACTCTGAATGGAGCACAAGACTTGGTTCAGTTCTTCCTAGTGTTTTTGTAGTGATTCTAGTATCAACTGTAATAAAGAATACTGAGAGATAAGTGTCCTCCCACTGGAATCTGGGAGGTCCTATAATATTATGCTCCATTTTACATTCATTTTTATTTTAGATGTGGATCTGTCTGATATGGAGGTGAATCAACATTATGATTATAAATTTGTGAAATGGATGATAAAATCTAAGGTAAGATGTCTCTTATACCCAGTCACTCTGATATACATTAAAAATCAGGAAAATTTTTATACCTAAAATAAAAATATACCTGCACCTATAAAAGGATATAGCTCAGATATTTACATTTTAAAGCATGCCTAGAAGTTTTGCTGTGCATATCACCCTAACTGTGGGAATCTAGTGGCTAAAATCCTGCTGAACTATAACATCCTACTGAAAATGTAGCTTGTAGTCTTAGCGCAAAACAATAAAGACAAGTCCCAATAATTGCTGTTTTCCACACTTACATGTTTGCAGTAGGCAAGATCCTGCTACCAGTCTTGCCTAGAAAAAGTGGTTGAGTTTGGGTCAGACTTAGCTAGCACATGCCAAACCTAAACTTGATCACGCTTCCTAATCAAGATAAACCCATTGATTTCACTGGTGCAGAATTAGGTACTTATATTTGATATGTGAATTCTGAAAATTAAGTCAATTCAATTCTAATGAAGGAAGGGAAGGCTCCAAAATCTTGGCTGTACAATTTATCAAACCTAAAATTGACTTTATCTGTGTGTAATAGGCAAATCATTGTTTCATCATTTCAGAAACTGTCAGCAATTCCTCTTACAGCATTCTGTGGCCCAGAGACCAAAAAGCAGTTTGAGAAATATATACGTTTTTGCTTCATCAAAGTAAGTTTGTGTCCTGCTCTAGAAGACCGTTCTGATAGCAGTGTTGCTTATTACTAAAGTGTTTGTGCTGGTTTAATCTAAAGGAGTTGTTTTGTGTTGTTTTTTGCTGTTAAGCAGTTAGTTATTTGGTTGTTTTTATATTGACATTTTTAATAGCATTACTGAAAAGTTAGTTTTATTAAGAATGCAACAATAAACACATGGAAGAAAAAAAAATACAAAATACAGGCCCATGCTGATTTGAAGCAGGAATAGAAATGGCGAATGGTGAGGTTGCAGAAACACAAAGCAACCTGACTGCCTCTTTTCCCTGCCCAGTATGCACAGAGATAATTTCTAAGAAAATTCTAGGCAAATCAAGCTATAGACTACATGTGCGACTCACAGGGCTATAGCCAAGTCACAAAACTGTCCAGAATATGGAATACCCATGCTTGGAGCGGGCGAGGGGGGGAGAGAATTCATAGCACAGCTTCATTACATGGGTATTTAAAAACAAAAAAACCCACCTTTACACATAGGGTAGGTTAACTATGCTAGCATGACTTCAAATGTAGCCTGGACAAGACCACTACTGTAAATGCAGTAGATAGCAACACAAATGTCATGGGAGTGATTTCTACATACGTTTAATAGTATTGACACTAAGGAAAGCAAAGGAGTTGTTTGGAAATGATATTTTTAATGTACAAAATTTTATAATAATTACAAGAAATCTTAACTTTGAATTCCTTTCTTGGTGTACCCTCTAGATATATAGTTACAAAGTTTAGTGGCAAATTATTGAATCCTTTGGATATTTACAAGATACAATTGTAACTTTGTCAAAAAATACTAGTCTGTAGTGCTGTAAAAATGGCTGATACTCTATTTTGTAGAGCTCTGTACCTACAATAATTGTGGCATTCTATACTTGCAGCAAGACAGCACACTGGATGCAGCTGAGGTGATCCTGAAGAACTGGAATAAACCTACATCTTGATTTTTATATTTGTATTAGTTATTCCATCTGGTATAATTATTTTATACATAGGTATTTCATTATACCATTAAAAGCTAATGTACTCTAAATACAGTACATGATTCATATGGAATTGCAAATAACTCTCTGGGAGGCTACCTGCTGAGTAGCTAAAATAACAATTTATCCATTGCAAATAATGTGATCCAAGGAATTATTTTCAGTCTTTCCAAAGTATTGGCTATTTCACAAAATAATCACGGGAACCCACATTTTGGGGGTGGGAGATTTACTAGGGCACTGAAAAAATAAATACATCATATAACTGTGTTAGGGCTTAGGAGGAAGAAGTCAGAATTAGAAGAATAAGAGCTGTTCTGATGTAATGGTATAGAAGCCAGTTGGAAATAGCAGGATTTGAAGATGGAATGTTGTGTTTTACATATCATCCTAGCTTGATGTGAAGGGAAATTGAGAAATGCTTTGAAATGGTGCATGTTAGCTAGCTCCAGGGACTTAGTACCTAACAGCTTATGAACATACAAAACAAAATTGATTTAGTTAAACCAATGCAATTTTTGGTGAGTAGACAGTTCTAAATGTGTTTCATTACTGTTTTAATTTCCCACAATTACTTTCAAATTAAGTACTTTCAAAAATAGTAATCTTCAAAGTTCTAAAATAGCATGTGGTGTAAGAGTTTAAAAGTTTAGTTTGATTTATATATGCACACATAAAAATAAGAGACCTTGCTCTAGATGCTCCTTGACAATCCTTAAATATACAACACTGGAATAGATCACTCCTGTAATTCCTTTTCAACTCTTAATCAGCCTATCCTCAACCACCACCAGTAACTCCACAGCAAAACACATATTTAGAAACCTTAACTAAGATCTCTGGAAAACAGGAATGGGCCTTGCATTGTGCTATGAAGGTTAATAAACTTAGGTTATTTCAAGCTAAGGGGATGAGGGGAGTGAGTCCTAAAGAAGAGGCTGTTATGGAAAGTGCTCTACCAGCTGCCTCATCTTTGAATATCCTTGTGGCTCTGTGTGGTTTTACCAACCTCAAACTGGTTCCCAATTGAATAGAAGTAATCCAGAGCAGACTGCTTCTAGAGGATGATTCCTGTGCTCTTTTTTTCCATGACTTTCATCATTGTGGTCTTGCACTGCAGAGCTGGAACAAACTCAGAAAACAATTCTAGAAATATTCCCTTCCATGTTCTGGAATCTGGAGTCAGTGCTGGTTTTCTGAAGTCTTGAGAACAATTTAGGATATGTCTACTCTGCAATCAGAGGTATGATTGCAGCATGAGGCATATCCATGCTAGCTTTAATCTGGCTAGCACAGTTAAAAATAGAAGTGTAGAAACAGCACTGACTTCAGCACAGGTTAGCAACAGGAGTACAGGGTTCCTGGCAGATTTTTATAGCCTGTGCTGAAGCCTGTGTCACCACACCTTCACTGCTATTTTTATGTCAGTCCATGATGCAATTACACCTCCGACTGCCATGTAAGCATATCCTAAATCCAACCAATCTGTGGTCATGGGTTTAGTCCAACAGTGCCTTTATCCACAAGTAAACTGTACAGCCGTGGAGTGGGCTGGTAGCAACAGTCTGGCTTCTCTCTCCGTTCCTGATCTTGGTCCTGGGCTTTCAGCCAGAACATCCTCCATTGTCTCTTTAGTTACTTTGTACTGCTATCTCAAAAAAACCCCAAAAACAACAAAAAAAAAAACCCTCCACCAGAAACCCCTTATAACAGTGGAGATTGAGTAGAGTTAGATCAGGTCTCCATGCTGAAAAAATAATTTGGCGATGAAATTGGCTCCAGATGAGTTATGGAATACATCTCCGGGAAATTCTGAGTCTCCAGGGGCGTTATGGCAGTTTGACCTCTCCTTCCAAAAATCCCATAATCTCTGAGGTAACCCACACTACCTACTGAAATCTCCCAGTGTGAACTGTACCTGGGAGCTGTGCCAGGAACTGTGGGATATCTACCAAGAGCAGTGGTTCTCAACCTTTCCAAACTACTGTACCCCTTTCAGGAGTTTGAAGCCTGAGATCTGCTGCTCAGGGCTGAAGCATGTAACTTAGCTTCATAGGGCCCCCTGTCACATGGGACCCAGAGTAATTGCCCTGCTTGCCACCACCTAATGCTGGCCCTGCACTTGCAACTTCCCTGACCTAGAGGGCATTACAGTAGAATCTGTTGAGCAGAGTGCTAGTTTGGGTGCAGGACAAAACTGTTAGTGTTGTTAACATGCTTCAGCTTGTAACATGCTTGTACCTCAGTTGGTGCACAACAATTGACTCAATTACAAACCATCTACACTAGAGAATATGGAATTAAGCACATAGGGAGAAGGCAGGTGGAGTAGAGAAAGGGGAAACAATACTGAGGCTTAGAGCTGCCATTTTTTCAAGCACTGTCAAGTCTCTTAAAATTTAACAAATCTGCTAATATAAATATAACAAATATATAGATTTCTGTGAGAAACTGGGTTCCTAGGGTATAGTATGAGTTAAATTTTACTAATCCCTTAGACTGATGATACAAAATAATACAACACTGGAATTTTGGCTTCTAACCTTAGAAACAAGAGTTCTAGTACCTTACACAATTCAATAGTTTATAATTGCCTATCAAAATGTAATAGTAAATAACCATAGTACCATATCTGTATTTGAAGATAGCAGGTTTGGAGCATAACAAATGTAATACTGATTAGAGATGCCAATTATTTCTACAGCTTATGTTGAGATGTCCCCAAGATAGCTGTTTTTATGTCCACATATGAGCTTTCTGAGTAATTGGGATGAATGAGTGATTAGACATAGCCTCACAACAGCAATAAAACATGGCACAGATTGCTCCATGTGAATCTCAGTGCTTGTGAAAGGCCGACTCTCCAGAAAGTCATGGTTTAACATTATTACTATATTTGTATTACTGTAGCATCTAGGAGTCTTGGTCATGGATCAGGACCACAGCAATGTGCTAGGATGCATATAATCTGCTTATCTTTTCATTTAATCAAAAGTCTAAACACACAAGCGGTGGCGCATACATGAACTGGCATGTTGGAGTTGATTCAGCTGTCCCACCTCCTTACAATTTCCATAATATGCTCATTTGAGGTGTGTGACTGCTGCTAATGTTAGAGAATGAATGTAGGCTAATTTAACAACCCATTAAAAATGAGAAATTTACCAAATCTACTATTTTGTGTTTCATTAAGGCCAAACGCACAAAATAGTGTGTTCATGAAGACAGTAAGTATCCCATTGCATAATACTGTGAAAATGGTACCTGTAGTATCAGAAACATAATTGCCAGCGGTCCATCTAGTGCTGTCACTGACAGTAGCCTGTACTGGATGCTTCAGAGGATGTTCAGAGGCTAAAACTTTCAAAAGTGGCCACTGATTTTGGATGCACAACTTGAGACACCTTGCACCTGGTTCAACTTTTACTGTTCACTATAAGTAAAAATTAAACATGTGTATATTTGCAGAATTGGGGCCATAGGTGCCTAAATCAGGCCTTTAAAATTCATATTTTGGTATCTAAACCAACGGGGCCTGACTTTCAAAGATGCTGAGGATCTGCAGATGCATGAGGAAAACTGTATTAAGGTGGTGCTTTTCTAAATTATGTCTTGAATTAGCAGTCTGTCTTGAATCCCAATGAGTGGGGATGCTGCAAAATCTTCTACCAATATTAATGGAGCGTAGTCCAACCAAACTCTGGATAGATGGTAAAGGGATGGGGCTACCGAAGTGGTCGTCTTGTCAAGTCGTCCTACTGCTTCCTGCTGTGTCCTGTGCACATGCGATTGCCCAATTATTGCACTCTGCCAGGTCACTGGAAGAGCATTCACAGGCAAGAAGCTGGCATTGCAGGAGATCCTTCATATTTTGAAGCTCTCTGCCACAGGTACAGGGGTCAGTAATGTAGCCTCATTTAGTCACTGCGTCTCCAGACTGGCCAACTCCAGGGCAGAGTCTATTAAGGTAACGCCACATAGTTCAGGGCGGATGTGTGTTACCCGGGGTTCTCTCAACTCAAAGCTTGGGGGTAAATGAACTCTTTGCAACGCAAGTCAGGAACAAATCAAAGGGGGACACAGTGCATCCATCTGATTAAAGCGTGGCACAAACGCAAAATGCTTTCATCCAAACTTACTATTCCGTTAGATTTCAAGCACCCACATCTGAAAAAGGGTTAGAGCACCCCCAAGGAATAGTGACCCACAGTCTGCGGGGGTCTTGAGTGGTCGAACGACAGGGTGCAAATGGCCAGCGATCTGCCTGGTGCTGGGGATTCCAAGAGAGGTCCAGAAGGTCAGACCCCAGTCCCCCAGCCCGCTCTACTCCTTTTATGTTAGTGCCGGCTACAATTACTGCAACAACATGTCAATCAAATAAAAACCATGAGGCAGGCACTTAAGCCGTTAGCCCCGCAGCTGTATTTCCACACGACAGCCCAACAACAGCCTCCAGAGGCGGGACAAAGTGAGTGTCAGACCCAGAGCCGGGCTGAGGGAGAGCGCGGGACGCCAGCCGGCGCCCCGCCCCTAGTCATTGCCCCACAGGCGGGCACCGCCTCCACAGGCTCAAGTTGAAGCAGCTGAACGCGAACCCTTTCGTTTTGTCCCCTCGCGCGGCCCGTACTGACGGCCTGGCAGAGCCCCGCCCCCAGTGGCGGAGGATATATAAGGGAGTGCGCTGCGTGTTGCTCCTGACCCGGCCCTGTGCAGAAACAGCACAACCTGGGACGAGGAAGGAAGGAAGCAAGCAAGCAACGAACATGGCGTCTACCAGCCGGTGAGTGGCGCGAGCGGCGTCGTGGTCGTAGTAATAGTAGTGGTGGTGGTGGGTGGTAATAGAGTGTCTGCTGGAGCCCGGGAGCGGGCGTGTGCGGTGATTCCGGACTATCTGCCGGGGAGAGAAAATGGCCGCGTCTTCCCCCACGTTCAGCTCCTGGGACAGCAACGCTGATGGGTCCCCCCGCCCCCACCTGCTATCTCGGGGCTTGGTTCCTGCTCTTCAGTCCCGCTCCCTTCCCTCGCCTCGGACCCCTTCGCTTCTCCCCCACCCGGCCCCCTTTTCCCCTCCCTGTCCCTGTGGGGGGGAGAGGGGCTCGGCCTCCGCCAACCACCCCCTTCCTCCCTTGTGCAGGGGGGGCGCTTTGATTTTCCTCTCGCTTTGGTGCCCCATCTCCGTT